GCGAGGAGCGGCGGGACTCCTCTCTGCGGCTCGCTGGATAGCTTGGGAAGTTTTCACGGAAAAGTCACCCGCTGGAGCTGTTAGGCTGGCTTCCCTCTTCCTGAGCTCCCCAAAATAGGACAGTTGTCATCCAGTGTCAGGGAATCTTCCCTTCCCCTTCTGTTGTCGCTGTTTTTTCCAGCGGGAGGCAGAGCCGGATATTCCCATTGTCGCTCAGCTCCGCTCCCTCCCCGGCTTGCTTGGCTCCAATAGAAATCCCAAAAGCTAAATGATACGGCTGGAAGACAACTCCCACAAACAAGAAATTGCCGTAGCACAATGCTCTGGTGTTGTTTGGGTATAATGCATAATTAAAACCTTGCAGGCTTTGGAAATTCGGGGAGGAAAAGAAAGAGAAAAAGCAAGCAGCCAAAATTACAGTGGCTGGTAATTTACTCCTCCTGTTAGAGGAATGCTATAGCACTTCAGGCAGAAATGGTTTGAAAAGTGACATGAGCTCTGAGGGCCAGTCTTTGATTTGATGCTGCCTTTCTTTTTAGCATGAGTCCCTCACGTTGTCTTCTGACTGTATTGCCTTCTGTGATAAATAACTCTTTCATGTAGTAGAGAAAACAATTCTTGAAGAGTTGCCCAGCCAGAAAACTAGCCTAGCCATTTAGCTGGCAGTACACTAGCATGTTTTGGACTATTAAGTTCTTATTTGTCTGGAGGGGGGGAGTCCCAAGAAAAGATACCAGAGAGTGTTGAAGAAAATAAAAAACCCCAACCAAACCAAACCTGCTAGTCTTAATAGAAAAGGGAAAATAGAAATAGAAAAGGGAAAGGTGGAAAGTATTTTATAGGTTTTCAATATATTTTCCTTTAACTCAAAGGTAACTGATTTTAAAAAACAGTCTGTCCATAATTTAATTTAAAAACATGTTTGGGTAATATAGTTCTGATTCATTGTCCAGCTGTGAATGGAAGAGATTTTTAACAGATACTGGCATATTGTAAGGAGAGTTGCAGCATTGAAGTAAGCTAAGTTTAACCTTTCATTGCTTAGCGTTGCTTCAGTGTTGGAGATATTATTTGATGAGATGTTAGTCATTCTTAGCATTTACTGGTTAAATAAATTGCCATTATGCTCTCTAGAAATAAAAAGTAGTATACAAGTGCTAGGTATTAACATTAAATGACAATTTCGTAATGATACTAAGTTATCCAGACCATAGGACCCTTTTGTTTCAGTCTTGCAGAGTTGACTGGAAATTGAAAGTATTTAAAAGTCCGACTTGGTGATGTATTTCATTGTGCAGTCAATGACATGTTTGTTTCTCCCACAATAGCATTTGGCTGCCTATTTGCAATTATGTAGCGGATTTAGTAGAGCCTCCTGTAGGCATAAGTTAAAATGAGTGTTTCTTAGCAGTTGGGGAAGAGAGGCCAAAGACTGAATTGGCAGGGATGTAATCCTCTCTCTCACCAGATCCTCCTTGGTGAGGAAGTTTGCACTGCTTCTGTCTTAATGTTTTTTCCCCAATGGGTAGCATTAAGTAGTGCATAACACTGTATATATCATCATAGCATTAAATAGTGCCTGTTACTCTGTCAGATAAGGTGTGATAAACAGGAAAACCTTCGTTATAGGCAGTGTGGGCCAGCTGTTCGGCAGGGAATGTAGTTTGGAGAGGAGGGTAGGATCAGAAAGGCAGACAGCCTCCTGCACATTGGAGAAGCTAATCTGGTGCTGAAGCAGAAATGTTTGTACGAAGGTGAGAGTGGAAACCCAGGGGATGATGTGGGAAGAGACCGTTAAGTAATTCCATTTAATCAACCTGTGGCGGTGTAACAGATGAGATGGGGAGGCAAGAGACCAGTTTTGTGGTATTTGACCCCAAAGGCAATAGGCCATTTGTTCCTTGTACTGTGTTGCCACAGCTGAGGTCAGCAAAAGCATTTCAAGAGGGATTTTTATATTTTATAAATGGGAAGGGGAAGTGATTGGGTATTCTCTGTGAAGGCTCTGACATGAGAAGTTGCTTTCTAGCCTTGACCAAAATTATCCAAATGTAATGACTCTGGGGCAAATACCAAATATATGAAGGCTTAAAGTAACCTTGGTAGACATTGAAAGGACTAAAGCTTTCAGTGGGGATAAGGGCCTGCTCTTTCTAGTTCAGCTTCTTACACCACTTCCATATTGTGGTCACACAAAGCTCTCACCCTTTCTACGCACACGTACTGTGATCGCCTCTAACAGGTACCCACATTGCCAGAGTTCCTAGGATCTCTTAGGTGCTTTAAAAAGAAAAAATTCCTGCAGAAAAATTTCAATTCAACTGGATGGAAGTACTGTAATGTGTACAATCACAGTTCCAGCCAAAAATACTAAACTTTGCTTTTTAACAGTCCCAAAAATAGAAAAGCTGTGGGTAAAAGCTAGAACTAGAGGGTTAGTTGGTTGTTTCTAGACTATCATATAAACTTGCTCATTGCTTCTTTTCATTTAATTTACAATGGCAGATGAAGGTTGGGTTTGCATCTTAAAAATCACAGAATATTCAGATGTTAAAAGATGTTAATACAGGATATCATAAAAATCCTGCTTTCTGTTTAAAGGTTCCATTTTTTAATAATCCATATTAATCACATCTGCAACTTGTTATTTAGCATAAGGCAAAGAGTTATCTTTTTGTTCTGTGCCTGTACGGCACCCATCACAATGCATTCTTTGACAGAGAGCTCCTATGCACAAATAATCCCTGATAGTTATAAAGCGAGTACAGTTGTACAGAATGCAGAAGTTTTTCCTTTGCCTAAACTTTAAATATCTTGTAGCCAATGCTCTTCATAATGTCATCAGTCATCCTGTAACAGACTAAATGATTTTTTTATCACCAAAAAGTTGTCCTGGGATAAAATTCCCTCAGATATGTTCCCTGCAGTGACATTGCTTTAAAGAAGTCTTTATTACACGTTTACTAGTCTACATACTAAAAAAGATTTGTTACTTTGTGGTTACATGGATACTTGTTCTGGGTAAATACACTTACCCCCTCAGAACGAAATATGGAAGCTTGAGTGGGTGCTATAAATTTACTATAGTGATAGGTAATAATCAGGTATTAAATAGGAGCTGAGAACTGATGAAATCCCTTCATGGTTTATTTCCAGACATCTTAATGCTTGGTCTGTTAGATATTAGACTTTTGCAAGGAAAGTGTAATGGTTTTTTTGGCTGTCAGTCAGAAGCATGTAAGTATGTGAACTAGGAATGTTGTTTCTTTTTCTTTCTTGATTTCTGCTGTGGAGCGTGCCAACACCACTGTCTGCAGTGTGATGCTGTGATAGCAGATCTGACCCTCCAGACCTGGAAACAGTGTGACTGGCTGAGAAAGAGGGTACATTACCCTTCAAGTATTTCAGTACTGTGTCTAGGGCTCTCCTTGTGCCTGGGCAGCTCTCTTAAAGCTGTGTTGGGTGTTCGTATGCTACAGAAACACCTCTAGTATTAGACATGCCCTTTTACTATTTATGTAGGCCAGCAGAAACCAATGCTAGTTTTTATGTGCTGCTGGTTTCAAAAATGTTTCTCCCTGCAGTCTCCCATCACAATTGTAGTACCGAGTTGTGGCTGCTCAGCCCCGTGTTACGTGAGAGGAGGAAGGGAGGGCTGTGTTTGTGCATGGGAGGCCCACTGGGAGGCAAGTGGTCAGTGTGTCCAGGACAGTATCGCTGGGACCAGCATGGAGCACAGCTGCCTCGTGCCTTTTCCTCCATGATCCGCTTCCACTGCATCTTCTGCTCTGCATCCAGCTGGTCTCAGTTCACTTGTGTGTACCCAGGATGCGTTCCCTTGACACGGTGTAGTTGGAGAGCTGCTACGTAACCAGTCTTAAAGATGGGAAGGAAGGATTTTAAAAAACACTGCTCTATACCACAATGAAAAGCCTCATGCATTACTATAGGATTCTCTTTTTTAGCATGCACCAGTGACTAGAAGACATTGCATTCCTTCACCGATTGTGGATTTAGGCCTGGCCTAAAATCATTCACAGCAAGTTTGTTTAATTGAATTCTAAAATTAGAGTGGTGTTAGTTAAAAACTTGATGCTAGGGCATGCAAGTTGCCCTGTGACACTTTTTGAGAGTTTAAAGTACTTTGATGGCCCCTGAAGTTTGGGAGCTACTTGTGCAGGACCTAGCAAAACAGAAGACACATTCTGCCATTGAAAATACTTTCTCCACTTTTCAGCTGCCTATGTGGCCTGGAAAAGGAGAGGCTGACAAGGAGCTCTTATTTGAAAGGGTCTTTCCTGGTGTCTTTAATAACTCACAAATGAACTCTCCCATCCTCTACAAACCTCATAGACATGTCACCTGAAAGAGTTGCTAAACAGATTAATTAACCTGAAAGCTGCCCTTTGCCTTTTCAGCTTTGCATTGTTTCCAAGCTGTAACTTGAAGCCTCCTGGGCAGCTCTTTATTTCCCAATCCCCTCAGGAGTTCCTGAGCTTGTCCTCCACACCCTGACAAATGTAAGCATCAAAGAAATATCTGGTAGTCCCAAGTGGCAAAGCTGAACCACACTTCCAGCTGTGCAGGTGTTCACTATCACAGTCTGAGCTGCAGCAGTTGTTTTCCTCGTTACTGCTGCTCTGTATGGCACAGTCCTCTAATTGCCTTCCTATTGGGATGTAGCAGGTAATCAGGCTTAAGGATGGGATAGGGATGGAGGAGTTAAGGTCCTAAGAACTCAAGTGACAGGTGTGATCAAGCCCAAGGCTGGAAGGGAATTGTAGGGAAAGTTTCTCACTTACCATTTCCAGAAA